CCACAGGTAAGTACCAGGTAAGCCTCTCGCTGCTCTCTATCCCGTACTGCAGTCTAGCGCTAACCTCGCGCTACTGCAGTAGCGCTGAGCCCTAAACAGAATAGCGCAGCGTTCTCTCTAAGGGCTGCTACTCCAGAATGCCGAACAGGCGGCCTCCCGGTGTGGAAAGGCCGGCCTCTATGCTGCGAGGCCGAGCTGTGATCTGAATCGTCAAAAGTGACGATTCAGATCAGACCGGCGGGCGGCAGCCTCAAGAGCGCCGCCAGGCCCAACGGTAACGTCGTTTGGGCCTGCCCGTCTGGTCCGGTCCTAAAATGTGGCCTAAAGGCCAACCGGTGGGCCTGTAAATGGCGCTACCGGTTTAAAGGTCTGGCCTTGGGCCTGGACCGGCCTCCGAACCCCTATCTGTCGGGTCTAACCGGGCCCGTGTGACACAATGTGTAACACACTCCCCTCCTTAAAAGACCGAGCTATCTGCGAGGGCAAAGTTGTCTGTCCGATACCGGGTTGGGTCGGGTGGGACGAGCTTTGTCCTTGGCAAGTCTTCGGTTCTCGTAGTCGGAGAAGATGAGAGGTGCGGATGCCTGTAAGTCTGCGGGGGAGATCCAACGGGTGTCATCTGGTTCACATTGCTTGAAAGTGACTTGGTATTGCATTGGCTTGTTGCCAAACTTGCGGTGCCTGATGACACGGTCAACTTCCTCATGGCCGTCCATAGAGGGCGGATCCTGTGATCGTCTGCCCGGGAACTCGTCTCCGGATGGTGGCGTGTAGATGGCCAGCTTCAACGCATGAAAGACCGGATGCACACGGAGGCGCGGTGGAATGGTAATCACAAAGGAAGGACCTGCAGGGTCGTCGCCTGCTGCAGAAGTTATCGTCCATGGTCCAAACCATTTCGGGAGGAGTTTGCGCGAGACGTCCTGCTCGAGCGCGAATTCCTCAGCGAGGACCCAAACAAGGTCTCCCTCGCGGAAAGGACATGGGAGTCGACGTCGGTTGGCTTGCTGCTGCACGCGGATTTGAGCCTTTTGCATGTTTGCGCGGGCTTTGATCAGCAAGTCCCGGTACTTCCGGACGGAAGCGGGAGAGCAAGCGACGTCTATGCCGGCGGCCCGTGGTAGAAGAAGATCGGTAAAGACTCGGGCTTTCTCTCCACCGTGATGCAACTCGAATGGAGTGATGCAGATCGTCGGGTGCACCGAAGTGTTATAAGCGAACTCGATGTCGGGAAACCGGTCGACCCAATCTTTCTGGTCGGGACGGATGAGTGTATGTAGCATCATTTGAGCGGTTTGATGCCCTCATTCCGACTATCCATCCGTCTGCGGGTGCCGTGCAGAACTCGGCTTCATAGTCGAACCGGACTCCGTCATGAGGGAAGTCCAAAATGCAGACATGAAGCGAGTGTCTCTGTCACTCACAATATCTTTCGGAACACCATGGGCGGTAATCCAGCCGGTGTGCAAGAGTCGAGCGAGCTCGGGGGCTGTAGCACGATACTTGCATGGAAGAAAACGAGCGTACTTGCTCAAATGGTCAACGATCGTGAGAATGTTGTCATGGCCGAGGCGATCGCGGGGGAACGGGCATGTAACAACCATAGCAATGAAGAGGCTAGGTGCCCGAGGAATCGGCATCGGTTTCAGTTCGCCATAAGGGACCGTAGATCGACCTTTGTTACGACGGCAAACTGCGCATGACTATGTACCTCGTGACGTCGTGAAGAACATCGGGCCAGTGAAAACGCTGGCGGAGGCGAGCCAATGTGCGGTTCACGCCAAGATGTGCCGAAAGTCGTGCGTCGTGGAATTCGCTGAGAAGACGAGTCCGTAAGATGCGATCTTGGGGCACCACTAACAAGTTCTTCCCTCTCGTGTGAAGGAGTAGGAAACCGTTGGAGATACGATAATGACCAGTCGGCGGGTGATCCGATGATAGGTCCGCATAGAGCGTAGAGTACGTCGGATCGGACTTGTAGCCGTTGACGAAATGCTGTTGCAGATCGTCGTCGAGGTTGAACGTCGTGGTCACAAGGGCACAAAGATCGGGCCGTCGTGAGAGGGCGTCCGCTGCTCGATTGGCGGGACCGAGAATGTTGCACGGCTCAAAGTCGAACTGGTCGATGTAATACATCCATCGACCGATTGTGCTAGTGACCATGTCCTGCGTTTTGTGGAAGGTCAACGGATTGTTGTCCGTGTTCCATCTAAAACGCCGACGACTGAGAAGAAAGTGGCGCCACCGTTTGAGAACGGTGACGAACGCGAGTAGCTCTTTCTTCCTAGTGCTGTCGAGAGTGTTGATGGGAGGCACTTTTTGGGAGAAGTACTCGACCGGGTGCCAACCATCCGTGTGGCATTGTTCCAATACCGCACGAATACCGTACCCGGATGCATCCGTAGTCACTTGGGTGGGTAGGGTGGGATCATAGATACCGAGGGCCGGTGCGTCTTGCATCGCCGCCTTCAACGTATTGAACGCGCCACGAGCTGCGTCGTTGAACTCGAATGGTACCTTCGGGGACTGAAGTCTCGACAAAGGAGCTGCCACTTTGGAGTAAGACTCGACGAAGCGCTTATAATATCCAGCCAAACCCATGAAAGAGCGTACGTCCATCGTGCAACAGGGTTCCGACCAATCCACGATGGCTTGGATCTTGCCTGCTAAGGGACGAATGCCTTTCGGCGTCACATAATGGCCGAAGTACTCAAGCTCTTGCTTGGCGAATTCGCACTTGTCGCGATTTGCTTTGTACTTGGCTGCTCGCAAACGATCCAACACCACACGAAGGTGCACGAGGTGCTCATCAAGCGTCCTACTATAGACCAAGATATCATTGAGGTAGATGGGGACGGAACGATCGAGCAAGTCTCGGAATTCCGTTGTCATGGTTGCTTGGAAAGTTGTCGGGGCATTGGTGAGTCCAAATGGCATC